CTAATAGTTATGGCTCTCGACAGGTATGTGGCTATATGCCATCCCTTGAGGTACAATTCTATTATGACCACTAGTACAGTGGCAAAGTTATCTGCATGTGCTTGGGGAGTGTCTCTGAGTCTAATAATAGTGCTGTTTACCCTGACCCTGAGGCTGTCCAGGTGCAGATCAGTTATTTACAATCCTTATTGTGACAATGCATCATTATTCAAGTTGTCTTGTGAAGATATTACAGTCAATAACATCTATGGATTATTCAGCACAGTTTTATTGCATGTATCCTCAATGGGAAGCATCTCTATCACCTATTGCAACATGCTTTTCATTTGTTTCAGTACAAAAAACAAGCAACTCAACAACAAAGCACTTCAAACATGTGCCACTCCCTTAGTTCTGTACCTGGTCATGCTGTGCTCTGGATTACTACCCATTATATAACATCGTTTTCCTCTTTACCCGGATTTCAGAAAACTGTCATATATTTTATTTGTTGTTGTTCCAGCAAATGTGAATCCCATTGTTTATGGCCTGAATTCTAATGAATTAAGAAACAAACTGGTGCAAATATTCCTTTGAAAGGTAGTAAATATGATGACTTTGTAAAATCATCAAGACGACCCCACTGTCTGCTGATTATTAATGAAGCTGAATTCATTCATTTAATTTGATTGATTAGAAGAAGTTTCCTGTTGTCAGATCTTAAATTGCTAGACATTTCATTATCGAAATGTCTTACACATTTTAAAATACGTGAGGATTACCACTGGGTAGCCGTGAAGTGCAGACTACCTCCCAAAACAGTGTTCCCTGTCGCCATACAGGAGCACTGGTTAAAAATGTCCATTGCAGTGGAAAGAGTTCCACACAGAGGTCGGCAGCTCTTTATCCTCAGCAGCCACTTTTCAACCAGTAACTTGCAGGTGGTTTTCAACCAGAAACTGATAAAGACCTAAAACATGAGTGATATAACTTCACTTTGTATCCCTATCATTATTTGAATTTGAAGTTGAAATTAATGTGACTGAAACAACTTATTTTACAACTAAATCTAGAAGAAAAATGCAAATTCCACCCTGTCACACTTAATACTCAGAAAAGTGGACAGAGTGGAATATATGAAATATTTAGGAACAATTGTTGATAAGGGATTTACTTTTAATAGAAACTATGAGTATAACACTAAGAATATTCACTTGTTTTTCTTAAGTGATTAGAATTATTTGGCATTAACCAGCTGTGAAAGACCCCCCCTTTCTCATAGTGTGGCAAGGGCTTTCCACACGAACAGTAACTGTATCTTCCCCGGATAGCAGTGCCAGAACCTCTTTCGGTCGAGTCCAGTTGGCCAGGTCCACTCATCAACTGTCTTCTTATTTACCGGCGTCCTGACCCGGAAAACGACTGAAGCTCATACCAATATATTCCCGTTGTAAGCCTTCTCTGATTTGTTGTGCCTAACGAAAACCTTTACCTCCAAATCATCTTTCAAATACTCACTGTCTTATTAAACAGTGAGGGTCTGTGAAAAGACAACCTCTGACTGCATCAGGAAATGCTTTTATAGGGAGGTAGAGTCTGTGGCTCTCCTAAATTAGATGACCCCATCCCTTGGGGATTCACCCATGTTTCCAACTCCTGCTTTGCTACACCAGCACATCCTTGAGGTGGCATATAACTGCCTGGTAGAAAGTGTTGTATGGTACAAGCGCCTGAGTATGTAGTGTAGAAACAAGCTTTCTTAGAATAGTGACCATTGCAGGGAAGGTGGTTGGCAAGCCACAAAAACAGCTGGGCCACATTTTTCATAGTGTGCTGCAGCTATCAAAAATGTACACTGCAAGTGTGATTGTCCAATTGACCTCTAGCCTGGAACCACACCTCCCAGGGGATGCCTGTTCACCCTCTCAGCACAAGAGAACAGAGTGATGAGGGATTACATTGAGAATAACTTCCAGATAGGTTTCATCTACCCATCCTTGTGTCCAGCTGGGCCCAGATACTTCTTCATATGCAAGATAGACGGGTCTCTGTAATCAACTACAAGGGGCTTCTACAAAGATCACAAAGAAGAACCAGTACCTGCAGTCCCTGATCCCATTGCTACTAGAGAGTCAGGCAGCCATTTTCTCAAAGACAGATTTAAGGAGAGCCTACAATCAAATCCAAATCAGTGAGGATGACAAATGAAAGGCAGTGTTGAACACCTATGTGAGGCATTATGAATACCTGGTGATGCCCTTTGGTCTCTGCAATGACCCGGCTTTCTTCCAGAATTTTAATTAAAGACATCTTCCAGGACTTCTTGAACAAATTCATGGTAGCGTACCTGGAAAACATTCTGATCTATTCTCACAGCTTCCAGGAGAACATCAGACACACCTGCCAGGTCTTTCTGTGTCTCAGGGAGCACCATTTCTATGTGAAAGTGGTAAAACAGTACAAGTGTGACCCAGCAGCCAAAGGTGACCTTCTTGGGACACAACCCCTCCTCCTCGGGCCTGTGAATTGACCCCAACAAGGTTAGAGACCTCCATGCACCTCAGATGGTCCACTTACTCCTCACCTGGTACCCCAAAGGACCCCGTCCGGCACCTGAAGAGCACCAGTTAATAGGAGGACATTATCAAGTCTGGGCGGATGAGAGCTCACTGTCCTCA